GGGGGGGGGGGGCGGTGAGAGCCAGTGAGCTCGTTTAATCCCCTCGTTAGCAGCCGCGTCACACTACTTGTGGGGGCGCGGTTCCGCCCCGACGGTCCGACGGCATGACGAGCGACGAACGTGTCGAATCATTCGGCGTGTATAGCATACCCGTCCCTACTGCACCGCTCGGTGGAGTTCCCTCGCATTTCGACACCCTTAGTTAGATTTGAAAAGCACACGCAGTTCAGCCGCGCGTTCCGAAAAGCACACACTTCCTCGGAGCGTCCCAAAAAGACTAACGCAGTTCAGCCGAGCGCTCCGAAAGCCACGCAGTTTAACGCTCCAGGGATAAGAACTGCGTGACTCGTGACTCGTGGCTTTGAGCGGCTGAACTGCGTGAGTTTTGGAACGTGCCGCTGAACTGCGCGTGCCTTTCAGTCTATGGTGTCGAGTTTTGTTATCACCCTCATTATTACCGCGCTCACATCGTCACCACCACCATACCACCACAAATGCGCGGCGAGAGCAGAGCAGCCGGCCGCGAGACGACGACGGCGTGGTGTCGACGTGTCGGTGAGATTATCGCGCCCTCCCCTCCGCTCCGCTCAGCTCTCGCCTCTCCACCCCTCGCTCTCCAGCAGCGCGCTCCAACCATTTCCATAATCTGCTGACTCTCTCACCGAATCTCCCCCGCCGCCCTGTGAGTGTGCGTGTGTGTGTGTGTGTGTGCGCGTGTGTGTGTGTGCCCGACATGCGTGTAGTACACAGAGCCGCTCATTACCTTTGCTCTCGTGTTGTTGTCTGTGTGACTCTGTGTTGTGTACAACAGGTCCGGCCTAAGTGGCGGGAAACTCGAGAGTTACTATGAAAGTTTGTAAAGTGATCACACTCAATTCAAAAGTTCGCCAGTTATAACTGCAGAACTATGAAACGCTCGCCATCACTGGCAATATGTCGGGAGTTGAGGAAGATTCAGAGTCTTCGATAAATGGACAAAAACCACCCGTTTGTTGGTTATGCGAATAGCCGTGGTATTTCCAGTTCTGCCAACTCGTTTACCCACTGTATAAAGCAGACAAGGAGAGAGAGGGAGAGAGGGAGAGAGGGGGGCAGTACAATGATACGATTTTCAACGAACCGCGGAATAAAAATGAAAATGCAAAAATTCCGTGAGCGCTCGTCTGCCCGGAGTTTACCGACGCAAGCAGAGTGTGGGCTGGCGGGTTTGTGTTTGTTTCTGTATTTGTGCGGGTTGGAGGAGGGAGGGAGGGA